CTCCAAAGGCGCTCGCCAAAGGAGCCACGTGAAATCTTTCATATCGAGACGTAATTATTTTCTTCCTTAAGCCGGATCATCAAACAGACCATCAGGTTTCCTCTGTTGGAGCCCCTGGGTTGCTCAACCTGCTCCCTCTCCTGCTGCTCTTCGCCTGAAGCTGAGAGGTTATTGCTCATCATAGCTTTTTACAGCTATTATTTTAACTGGGTCTAAGAATTATTAGGAAAAAAATGATAAAAAAAAAACCCTCTGTCCATTATTCATATCCATTTAAATGTTACTCTTTGGCCTTGCTTTTCATGCAGGTTCTTCCAGCTTGAAGGTAAACCCTTTTCAAAGGAGGCGGTTTTTCACAAGAGTGGCCTCATTTGCAAGAGGACAAAGAGACTCCTTGTCTAGGCTCTTGTGCTTGGCAACTGAAAAGGAGGCGGAAAAGAAGGAAAAAAAAAATCCCGAGAAGAAAGGTGAGCAGGGAAGAAAAGCAAATCCCGGCCTTCCCAAATCACAGTTTCCCAAAGAACTACCTCTTGCACAAAGCTGTAAAACCCACACCCAGAAGATGATGTTGAACAGAACAGGACAAGGAACTGAGTAAAGACACATTATGTAGTTCTGTTCTCTTCCCCCAAGTATTTTGGGGTGAAATATACAATTTTGTATTTTCCTTCCCTTTAGCTGCTATCAAAACTGTTTCTGGAATTAACCTGAGGCCGTTGCTCTCTCTTCTCTCCATTCCCTGTTAGGCAACTCTTCATCCTAACTGATAGGCTTCTACTTTGGGCCGCAAGATCACTACCTTTTCCTGCCCCAAGTCACCTTCTATGACAGGGCGGGGAAATAATAATAATCCATCACTCCTCTGTAAAGATGGCTTTTGCCACGTTTTCTGGCTTTTCTTAGTGAAGAGGCAAGCTGAGACTTCATTTTCAGCATCATTTATGAGATGAAACATAAACAAAGTCTTGCAATGACATCCTGTGGAAAGCCCAACGCATCCCCAGCGGTTTGGAGCCTCTCCACACACAACGGCAGCTCCATGGAGCAGCCTCTGGAGCTTGGAGAACTGCAGAAGACAAACCCTGTCCCTCTCAATCCCTGCCCCAATCCAGAGCCGAGAACAACTACTGCATTGTAAGGTCTCCCTGGGATAACTACGCAAAATACTTTTTTTCCAGCATAGATGATGCTCTTCATTACCACTTCTGCATTCAGCTTTGCCATCTGCGAGCCCTTTAAGCACAAGCGTCATCACTCACCAGAAACTATTAAAAACAAGAAAAAAAACAAAAAAGCAAAAATAAAGTCAATTTAAACCGATGCTATTCATTAGGCACATGAAGGAAAATGAAGGCAGTAGTGTTGCTTTGTTAACTCACTAGGCTTTTGTAAATCTTGACTGTGAAGTTTCATGTAATTATACTAGAAATAGAATATTTTTAAGGTGTTCTACCACCACACAGGAAAATTGGGATAATGATTAACATTTTCTTGTCTATCATTTCTGTTGGCCTTCTGAAGAAGCTGCACTACTGTGGAAATGGGTAAGTCCCTTCCTTCCAGACCACACTTAGATGAAGGTCGTTACCGCTGCTCTCGCCCGATGCCGTAACCCAAACACAAACGCTGCCACCATCCATCTCCACGAGCTCTGCGTGACAATTAACACGAATAGAACAGCCTCCCCGGTTTGATTTTTGTTAGTAAATTAGGATGGAAAACAGTGAGTGGCACTGCTAGCCAAATTGGCCACACTATGCACATCATCTTTCACGATGTCAGTCAATTCCCAGGCAGAGCAAGAAAACGCAGCAACCCGGGATGCACTACAAGCATCATCCAGCACAGAGCCAACCCCCCTCTTTGACCTCCAGATTTAACTAAAAACTATGCAGGAAGCTGCATGGACCTTCACAGTTAAGACGAGCAAGGGCCAAAGCCACAAAGCCTGCACAGACCATCCCTTGGCAGAGCCACTTTGCACGTGCAAGCACACAGTGACAGGCCAAGCCATGTCCAAACACAAATCATGTCTATTATAGTGTAAAGCTGCTGCTCCTTTCCAAGGCCGTGAGTGCAAGAGGGACTACAAGCAAGTGGCAGGACACAGGATACGATGCTCTGCCCTTCTCAGATCTGCTACACAAGACACAGCCCTGCTGCTGTGCAGAACGGTGCATCTCTTGGTGCAGCCTCAGGAGCTTGTGGGTGCTCATTTTGGAGCAGGACAGAGTAACGTTTTTCCAAGATCAGCACTGGGCTCAAACTCAAACCTCTTCTTTCCTGCTCTGTCATTCCTCAGGGTCTCATGCAGTTGTTTTCACTGAAGGTTACAGACCACAATTCCAGTGCTGAGTGGACGGGGAGCCAGCCAGAAGATGAGTAGAGGAGCACGTGCCAGGTGTCCAAACAGGGCAGCAGAGAAGTGTCACTGCAGGAAAGCCTCCAAGATCTGCCTGTACCAATGGGCAAATGCTGACCAAAACACAGTTACAGGCCAGATCCTTGTGAATTATTGTTTTTTAAACAGTTCTTCTCAAAAAGACAGCAGATATTGGCTGATTAATAACCCACACCAAAAAGGGATGGCAGCAATGACTTTCCTGCCCTCGCTCTGAGCACTCTTTACTTGCTGGGCTTCCCCTCTTAGCAAGGGAAGAGAGTGCTGGGGGTTCCCATGTTAAGCCAGCGTGTGAAGATTGCTAATGCAGCACTAAGCCCCGGCCCAGGAAGGAGTTGGGCTGGTTTTGCTGCACTCTCAGTCACTTTCACACTTCAAACTTGCTGTTTGTTCAGAAAGAGCAGCTTGAACGAGAATGCTTTTGTGTAAGTTACCCACTACTTAAGTCTGTTTGCTGTAAACCTCTTATTTATGTGGAGGAAATGAAAGGGGAGAGCAATCTTTCAGGCTCTGTCCTTTGTTCAAATCACAATAACAGTCTTGCAAAAATTGCAAAAGTGCAAACCTTGAGAAGACAACGGCTGTTTGGCAGAACTGCTAGGTAGTAAATTGCTTAGTTCATTCTCCTGCAATGCAAAGAGCTTGATTTGCCTTAATGCCTCAAGACTACTGTATGAAAACAGCATGAATAGACAACATATTTGAAAAAGAAGCGAGGGAACACGATCCTTTAGTTTTTCCAGTAAAAGCAAATGTGGTTTAGAAAGTTGAAAAATCAAAATTGATCTGCTCCAAACTAAAAGACAAAGGGAAGGCACTGCACAGTGCTCCTTTTCTTTGTCAGAAATGAGAGAAATCAGAACCAAACAGATACAAAAAGTATATTTTAACAACTTCACGCTTACCACTTCAACACAATTAACAGCACTGTCAATTTGTTAATGGGGAACACTGCCTGACTACTCAAGAACAACATATAACCTGTTATGCTCTCATATGGCAACAATCTGACAACAGGCAGTTTTAGCATCAATTTGTCTCCTAGAGAATTGGCTGAAACCTAGTCCCTGGCTTGGCCACTGCAACAGAAAGCAGTAAAACACTGTCTCCAGAAATCTGGCAAGCAAATATACTCCATGCATAAAAACAAGCCTCAAGGAGTTGCCTACAGAAAACAAGAAAGTCAAGTAACACATCCCAGGACATGTCACAGATCTTACTGCAAATTTAAATCTCTGTAGAAACACTTCTACACCAGTTAATGCACCAGCGAGCGAGCCCAAGCCTCGTCACGGCGTAGGAAGCAGAACCCCTACCTGCACATTTGGTTCTGGTTGTGAGCGGTGGGCCCGGGGGCCCGGTGCCTCCTTCTCCGGGGCGCGTGAGCAGCACTCGGATCTCATACTCCACATCGGGATCCAGGTGCCACAGTTTGTAATTCGGGGAGTCCACAATGTGCGTTTCCGCCCAATTCCCGGTGGTCGTCCGATACTCCACCTCTTTCAGGATGATGGGCCCGTCTCCGATGATGGAGTTGGCGTTGGGCTTGATCCACAGGTAGGTGGCTCCGACCGCCAGCAGCTCCGGAGGGGCAATAGGCGTTGGGGGTTCTGTAGGCAGAAAGAAATCGCGAGAGGCTTGAGCAAATTTTGTGGAAAAGATCAAATTTTTATTATGCAGCCACAGTGAAGCTGTGCCAAAAACTTGTTACAGAGACAGTTTCTCCTGTCATTTACCAAACCTTTCCTAACAGTTTAATACATTACTGAAAAGAATTTGGCTTCTTGTATTTGTATAAAAAATTCAATGCCCTCAGAGTGGAAGCAGAGGAGAAAAAAGCATTACCAATTCTGAAATACATACCACAAAAATACCAAGATATTGGTAAATTTGAACACTAGGGACTTTCACATGGTGCTATCAGAGATAGGAGACAGCTAAAATCGATTTTATACCCCGCTATGTCCAGTGGCAAAGTTTGCTTAACTTCACAGCAAAGCTATTGCAGTAAAATCCACACGAGACTGAAAGACAACCTGGAAAAAGCCAGAGCGATCCCTGCGTGACATCCCTTCTGTGATACAGAGAGAAGCAAGCCCAAGGAAGACACCTCCGCTATATCCTTGGAGAAGAGCCACAAAAAGTCTGCGGAGGTCTGGCTGCCTGCTCAAGTTTTGCTTTCTGCTTTCTTTTTGACTGTTTGCTTTGTTTTTTAAAGGCAACATATAAATAACGGGTATTGGAAGCCATATGAACTTTGTGTGCCTTGTGGTTTTGAAAATCTGAATTGAACTGTGCAAGATTATGAGCAGTTTCTCCAATCTCATGCAGCTTTCCCTGCTTCACACACTGCTTGGGTTTGCCCTCTGCCCAGAGGATACACAAATTCTGTTCTCTTGTGATATTAAGGCAACAAGAGAGGACGTAGCCCTTGCAGAAGGATCCTATAAAAGTCATAAATGTTACGACATGCTATAAATTTTAGAGCTGTACAAGAGTTAGCCCATGCCCCTGGGTGAGTCCTCAAAGAGACCGGAAAGCTGGAAGAACCCCGGACACAGAAACACGAAGGAAAGGAGTGTGGGCACCACGGGAGGAGAGGAGCAGGGAACCTCCACCCAGAAGTGGCCTTGCAGGTTAGCAGCTGCTCTATGAAGGGAAGCGACAGCAGGAAACCATTAATGGACAAAATGATCAGCTGAAATGTTAGTTAATCTTATTTTCACTGGCTAACAGATTGCGCTCCGACAAATGCTGTCTCACAGAGCTTGATTACAGTAGTTATGTACCATTAACTAGAGGAAGAAAGTCAGATATGCAACACAAGCAAAGCTGCATCAAGAGCTAGGGTTTTGGAGGAAATTTCGTTGCTGCCTTGTTGCAGCACTGTTCCTATGGCTCTAGGCAGAACTTTTTCTGATACAAAACGTCAGACTGATTAAGTTTTGACTTGCCAAGACTATTTTTCCAAGAAAACTGGTTTCAAGCAATGCAGGTTGATACCTTTTCATTAAAACCTGATCATTATCCATCACAAACGATTTATTACTTGCAAGGAAATTAGAAAATAGACTTAAGCGATTTTTATTCCCGGCGCAAAAATGACATCTCACAAGTCACACCGTGTCCAAAGCCTTGTCTTTTGAACAGCTTTTAAGCAAGTTTAGAAACTAAAATTGCCAAACTGATTTAGATTAAGGAGACAACCAATATTCTGGATTTTATGCCATATCTAAGCCAAATTATCAAAAGTCAGAGTAGTTTTCCCTTACTTTGCTTTTGTGTTTTTATGTCCTTTTAAGTAAATAAAAAAATAGATGTCTCCTTACTCCTGCATCACTGAAACAACGAGCTCCTTTTTATTAGCAAATACTGGATAAGGAGCAAGTCTTTAATATCACTCAGTGCCAAACTGTTGCCAGTGATTTAAACAAACTACTCATTATTTAGCAAAACCAGCACACACACAGGGAACATTTTTGGCCTCTGTAACTAAATACACTTGTCAGTTACAGATGACCAGCCTGACGTTATGAGCTCACTATTTTGATTAAAATCTCTATGTGATCTTGATTAAATAAACCTGGTGACAGCTTGGGGTTGTACATATGTAATTGCAATCACCCGTATTTTAAGCCCCATTTAATCCAGACAGTATTTCATACTGCAAGCTCCATCCAGCCAGTTGCTCCCTTCCAGCCTCACCCCCTCTTCCTCCAGTCACATAAGAGAAACTAGTGGACGAGAAGGACCTATATACTACAAGACCCAAAAAAAGGTTACTGAATGTAAGGAGACCTTATTTAATCAAATAAATAAGTAGATCTTATTTAATTTTTAAATTATCTAACTTAACCAGATGTGCAAAGCAAGTCCAGCTAGGCTGTCAATTCAAGGCAGGGCTGCCTTCTCCCACTGCAAGAGGAAATCCAGGTGCAGGGCACAGCTGTGAAGGCAGAACAGGGTTAGAGCTTTAGCTGGACCCCGACAGCAGTGCAAACAGCCTGGGAACACAAAACCACCCTGAAGGACACGGAAAGATTACATAAATACTTGGAATACTTCTACATGCCATTTCTAAGCAATGCAACAGCTATTAGAGCATGGAAGAGCAGGCTCAAAAAAGAGGGACAGGGAGCTCAGTGATAAAACCCTGCTGGACAAAGCACAGGTGAAGCAGATGTGAGACAAGAAGTTATTTTCTACATCGAGTTCTCCAGAGATCTGTAATTCTGTGTAAAATAGCAAGAAAAGGGGGGGGGGGGAAGGCAAAATAAAACAAAAAAACAAAATGACAATAAAAGTCTGCTAAACTCTGATTTGCTAAACTAGCAAGAAGGAAAATGCATTATGGAAGATGAATTATTCATTTGTGTCATGTTCTCAGCATTATTTTTTCCCCATAAAGATGATGCACTATTAGCAAGAAAATGGTATGCTGCAGAAAATCAGCGAGCCCATTAGAAGCATGACAGGATGCAGCTGGCCTGTCTGACCTTGGTGGTGGCTTTGCTGCTGTTTGGAAGTCCTGCAAGGAACCAGAGCTCCTGAGAAAAATACAAAATGTCATTTGGATTTTGGCTACTATGGAGAAAGTAACTGCAATCCTCTCTTCAGTAGGCGTTGGAACCCCTGTGAAAGGTATCAGGAGAGCTTACATGCCTAAGCAGCTAAGAAATGTATTAGATTGTCTACCATCCAAGTGTGAAAGTTGTGTGACAAATATTCCCCATTCAGCCAAGAGTTTCATCCTGGAAATACACCCAGGAGTGCATTAAGATTGTTGTCTTGAGTACTAATCTTTATGATTTTTTTTTTTAAATCAACTTCTGTCCAATTCACCTGCTTCCAGGTAAAACTCCTGCCTACAAGAGCATTCAAGATGGAAGCTCAAGTTGTAGAACTACGGATGAACGTCCCCCCTTTGGGCAACAGCATATGATGAAGCAGCAGGCACGGTGAAAGATGCATGAAAATAGAGCTGCAAGAATCATGTTCAGTCCTAATTTAACCAGATAGTTAAAGGTATGGATTCCACTACCAGGTAATAAACACAGAGACCCTTTGCTTCAGTTCTCTAAGGAGATACTCCTCCTCTTAGATAACATCCATTTGGATGATTAAAGAGGTATTTAAATCTTTCAGTCATTGTCAATTGTATTAATTTTGTCTCTGTTCTTGAAGTTGGGTTAATCTTAAAAGTTTATACGGTTTTAGATGAACACTGCTCATACATAATTAGATCTGTACCATCTTTTCAGATGATGAATTACCCAGAATCCACAAAAATGGCAAGTTTCACTGGAACATGGAAAGGACTAAGAAACCTTAGGGATAAGGAACATAAGGAGAACAAGGAGAGAGAAGCAAATGCTTAAATAAAACACCCAGTGACCATCCAGATTCATTCAATTCTTACATTAATGCCTTAGCAATTATTTCTACTTACAATTACTTTTGTGGGTAGACAACCTATGATTCATAGCCAACCTGGAAGTTCCAGGTCAGCCACAAATGTGGAAAGCAAAACACAGTCTTCACCTGTGGAATGGAAGTATTATTATTTTATTGACCTGGTATGGATCAGCACAGTGACTCTCACAGCAAGGTCCTCATCTTGGCAAAAGGTTCAAGCTTTATTGTGAAACTAAAGGTGTTTCAGCCCTGGCGTTTTGGGTTCCCATCTTTCTGTGACAGTGATCCAATCTCACAAAGCTGTGGAGAGTTGATAGCTCTTCTTATTTTAGGCTCAAACTGGAGGGTTTATTTAACTTTCTCAAATGCGTATTTTTGATTGTTATTGCAACAGACGATGCAATGTCAGAGCAAACCCTGCCTGAGGCTGAGGGGATGTCTGAGCTCTGCAACACGAAGCAGATAAACTGCAGCATCATGTCACACCGGTACTAGAGCTACCTTATCTAGTGGTATTTCTAACTTGCCTCGGTATGCAGAGCAGACAGATCCTAAACTTTTTAGTTTTACAAAGCCTAACTCCTCTTACGTTTGTATTTAGCTTTGCTTTAAATACAAGACATGAAGAAACACAAACTTTGAGGTTTAGCCAATACGACCTTATAAAGACAAGGGAGACAAATTTCACCTAGTGTAAAGCCCCCAGCAAAGCCTTCTCCAATGCCTGTTTAAAAATATTCCTATGGGAGATTTAAAGCAATGAACTCTAAACTAAAAAAAAAATGCCTGATTATGAAGCTGGAAAAAGCACAGCTGAGAGATAACTATATAAAATCTTTGCAAAAGAAGGCTGAAGTCCCACCAACACAGCCTGTCAAAGAAGAACATGGTCCTTCCCCAGCACCTCTACAAATATTCTAGAGCTGTCTGGGATGTCAAAAACGAACTGTCAGCAAAATTGTCTAAAAACCAATGAATATCCAAGATATGAAAATGAGTCTTGGAAATGGTCTTTTCTACCAGCATCTCTGACTTCCGAAATGTGGTGAAAAATGTTACCTGTCAAATTGCTAAAGGTGGGGGCTGGTTTGTTTTGAAATTTCACCACAGCGTGTGAGGCAGGAGGATGATCTGCATGTCCAAGCAGCTGCCCAGAGGGGCTGGGGAGCCTCCATCCCCGAAGGGTTTCAGAAGC